GCTTTGGGGGGGGCGGGGGGGGGCCGCCGCCCGCCCCCCCGCCTGCCACTGATGTCCCCTGCTCGCAGGACGGAGCTTCGGGGCTGGGGCCGGGCTCTGGGGCCTCCTCGCTGGAGACCGACGCCGACTCCGACAGGGACCCACCGCTGGCGGGCGAAGCCGGTGGCGGGCCGGGGACGGCAGCACCCAGCTCCCCGTTGGAGACGGCGTCGGTGGCACCGCTGCCCACCCCAGGGGACTCCGCCATCGCCTCCGCTTCCACCACGGGCTGCCAGTCTGGTGCCTTCCCCGGGCAGGGGAACATGGCCGGGGGGCTCACCGGCGAGGAGATGACCAGCGAGCGCCGGTTGCTGCGTGGCGGGAGGACAGAGGGGGTTAAGCCCCGCTCCGGCACGTCCCACCAGCATCATCCCTGGGGACGCACGGCTCCGCGGTGTCACCGCCTCGCCTTGCTGGTGACGCTTCCCCATCCGGTGCGATCGGCAAACGACCCAAATTAATTAACCCAGCACCACCAAAGCGCCTTCAACCCAGCGTCGGGAGATGCTCACCCATCCCAGGACCATCGGACTGGGAGGCTGCATCACCCCTCGGCTCTTTGGGGTGGGGGGAGGTGATTCAGCCACTTGAAGCCCCCCACCCCGCCGGAGCTCGCCCGCTCCTTTACCTGGGGACGCCTTTAATGATGAAGACTTTGCTGGAGTGCTGCTTGTCCAGTTTGCTCATCACCTCGTAGAGGTCGCGGTTGAGCTGCAAGGAGAGCGGCGGGGGGGAAGGAACGCATCAGACGGCCCCCCCCCCCCGCTGCCACCCATCACCCGGCAGCACCACAAACATCATCAAGCTCTAATTTCTTAAATTAAATGAAAAGCAGTGAGGACGAAAGGCGGGTGGCCCGCACCGGCGAAGCACCCAGGGACGGCTGCGAGACTGCTGGGGGGGGAGCAAGGGGAGAGGTGTTTTGGGGTGCTGCCTTGCCCCCCACCTTGCTCATCTCCTTGTAGAAGACGTCGCGGAGGTTGGAGATGTTCTGGAAGATGGTCACGTAGCAGGCGATGCGGCTGCGGGAGGGAAAACACGGCGGGAGGTGGGGGGGTCGGGGGTGCCGACACGTTTCCCACGGGGGTTTGGGGGGCTGAGCACCCCGCGGGTGAGCACCCATCCTCCGGGGTCCCCGTGGAGATGGGGAAGGGCGAAGAAACCCTCGGGGTGAGGACACAGCGGGCCTGGACATGTGTCCCTGGGGCCACCCTGCTGCAGCCATGGTGCTGCCACATCCCGGCTGTCACAGCCGCCCGTGGCCGAAGTCCCCGGGGGCCATCGCTGTGTCACCACCGTGGCCTTTCGGGAGAAAACCCCGCTTCTTCCCCGCCGTGGGGGGAACGGCACCCACCCGCCAGCCCCCGCACCCAGCCCACGTCCCGGGGCGCGGCCGCCGGATTTTGGGGACCTGGTGTTTTTTCGAGGGGACGCACGGGGCTCGGAGGGGGCTGCCTTTGCCACCCCCTTGCACACGGGGGGGCTGCGGGGGCCCTCAGCATCTGGGGAGGGTACATGGCCCCC